TTCTTGACTTCTGCAGCCACTATTCTGTGCTTGTTTACTGACAGTTCACTGCGTTTAGCACTATTCTAGAGCAGTGCTTCCCAACCTTGGGTAACCCACGTACTCTTGGACTACAGTTCCCAGGAACCATGGCCAGAACAGCTGGTGGTGAAGGCATCTGGGAACTGCAGTCCAAAAACACCTGGGTTACCCAAGGTTGGGAACCACTGCTCTAGGGTTTGAAAAACACAATGCAAATGAGGAGAGGACTGAAAATTGAGTCATGGCAAACTACATTCCCCTGCAAAACAGTCCCATCTGAGATGCTGCAGTAAACTCTACTGACTGGACCACTTCAAATAATACTCAGTTACCCAGGGATTGAACTTGAATCATTACTACTACAGTACTTGAGTCTCTATGGTTAACACTAATGTTTCATTATTGAAGTGTGCTAAGTGTTTTCCTCTTACATAACCACTGCAAATGCAAAAAGGTGTATGGGTTTTTTTTAGCTGTCTACTTTTTGCAAATGTATAGCTGGCTTGCTGAGATTTTTAAAAAGTTACCTTTCCATGCTGCATGCATGTGTGTACATAAACGCACACAGAAGTATATTTTATTAGAATAGGCATAATTCTGCAAAGTCTTCAAGACATAAAAAAGCATGCTGGATCAGATCAAACTAACCCAGCAGTCTCCTCCTGCACTGGCCAGCTGAATGCTTACGTGAACCCCACCAGCTGGCCTTGAATGCAACAGCACTCCCCACCCATGTTGCTCAGCAACTGCGCAAGGCATAATGTCTCCACTAGTGGAGATAATATGTGCTTGCTAGTGTGCTTTAAACCTAGTGCTGAACAACACAGCACAGACGTTACATACATGCTACAAAACAGAAGTGGGTCACACGCCCAGGAATGAGACGTTTTCTTCCCCTAATTCATTCATAACCTTGGCAGATCAACACATAACCACCCCCTTGGAGAAAACTGTTGCTTGTTACCTTGCTCAGCAAGAGAATATGCTAGGTTGTGATATAAGCTCTATTTACCATACAAGGAACTCCATATGCTTAGCTGGTGACATCAAGGACTACACATTTGTACTTGCATATTCAGATAGAAAGGTTAAAAGCCGCAAGCTGCCATTAAATTCTAAACCAGCGATATTAGGAAGCCAGCGGGGGGGGGGGGAAATAGATATCATAAATTCAAAATGTGTGGTTGCAGTAGAAGCCACCTACACTAATGATTTGGCTTTCTCCTTTTAAATAGCAATGTTCTTGGTGTTCTCCTAATGAGTCGCTCTTTCATTTAACTTCAACTCAGGCAGAACTACTTTCTTAACATATGGCCCCAGCATCTTTTATTTCACAAGCCAGAAAACGGAGATGGAGTAGTAAACAGGAAAGAGAAATTAAGTCGTCCCACACTCAATGACTGTCTGCAATGTAACACAGCACACCCACTGATGGCAGCTTGGGTGACTGGTGCTACTTTATACATAGGTACAAGCAAAACTCTATTCCATGAAGGCTGCATTTTCACTGAAAGGAGCACCTCACATGGCATGACCTGTCCACAGGCGGAGGAGGAGGAGAGAGAGAGAGTCTTTGAGTCTGTTAAGAGGAAAAACTAGCTCACAGTGATATAATCAATAGGTTTCTACCCGATGTTAGTCTAGAGTTCTCTCTCAACTAGGTAGGAATGGAAAAACAAGCAAAGGCAGTGGCTCCTGTTTATGGCAATCCAAAACTCTCAGGTGGTAACAGATTACCACATACCTTCACCTGATATGCAGCAAAATAGCCTCTCTGTTCCTTGGCGTGCTGACACAAATGACCAAGCTAACACAGCAGGAAAATTACTTGGAAAACTACTAGCAATTGCAGCCAACAGGGCAGCTTCTGGAGGTGGGGGAAGAACTGCATTTTTTTCAATATTGCCATTTTGATTGTGGACTACAACCAAAATTGAATGCATTACGTACATACAGAACCACCACATTAAAGACAGCGATGTCTCTATCTTGTTTGGGCTCCACACGCTTGGCGATGGTGCAGTCGCTACTCTTTCCATGTGCCTTTTTTCCTTGAGGACTTTCATGATTTTTGTGCATCTGCCTGTCTTGTGCATAAGCTTCCAGGAACTGATCGGCCCAAGAAGGCTGCCATCTGGGGTGGGCTAAGGAGAGCTGCATTGAGAGTCTAGGGGAAGGTGTTGCCTAGCAACAAGAAAGGGAGGGCCGGCAGGCAGGCTCTCTTTGGGTGGGGAGGGGGAGCTAGGAGAGCAAGGAGCCAACCTGCACATCAAGGAGGAGGAGAACGGGCATTCCCAAGAAAGAGTAAATAGGGCGTGTGAATAATTTATGTGCACAGATGCAACATCAGAAATGAATTTTGTAACCTGAACAGAACTGAACTGCCTCCCTCTAAAGTTTGGAAGATGATAACCACACAACCTTGGTACCTGCTGAGTTTGCTGTCTAGATACTGCTAAGAGTGGACAAGAAACCCTTTCAGTGGTTCTCCTTTCTCTTTAAGTCAGACATGGACTGGACAGCCTGTCAAACTGAGGACACCTGTAAAAGGAGAACTGCACCCTAGCAGGGACATGGTGGCGCTGCGGGTTAAACCGCAGAAGCCTCTGTGCTGCAAGGTCAGAAGACCAGCAGTTGCAAGATCGACTCCACGCAACGGAGTGAGCCCCCGTCGCTTGTCCCAGTTCCTGCCAACCTAGCATTTCGAAAGCATGCAAAATGCAAAAATGCGAGTAGATAAATAGGTACCACCTCGGTGGGAAGGTAAACGGCGTTCCATGTCTAGTCGCACTGGCCACGTGACCACGGAGGATTGTCTTTGGCCAAACACTAGCTCTGTGGGTTGGTTGGATTTGGATACACACACACACATACACACACAATGCTATGGATAGGCCCTCAAATGCCATGGAATTTGTCTTTCCCTGTTTCCCCTGAATTCCTTCCACCCAGCTTTCCTTAAAGGGCCAGCAATATAGTTACAAGTCAACAAAGTGGAAGATCTAAGTAAATAGTTCCCCAAACTTGGGGCCCCAGATGTTTTCAGACTACAATTTCCAAAAGCCCTGACCACTGGCTGTACTGACTAGGCCTTCTGGGAGTTGTAGTCCAAGAACATCTCAGCTCTCAAGCATGAGAACTACTCTTAAATTAACAGAAACTGAAGGCACATTGAACTACTTTTCACACAGGCATGCTTGTTACTTTTTCAATACCAGGTTTGCATTCATCTTCACAAGCAGACGTGTGTTCCTTTTGGTTGTAAGAGGTAACATGAGAAATGGTCCATGATATGTTGTTTCCAGAAACAAACAACCCATATATCACACTTCTTCTCATTAATATAGGGCACAGTACCTGTCCATCTCGTCAAAGGACTCTTTGTGAAACCTTATGATTAAGAGATATGCAACAGACTGAATGGCACTGGATTGCCCTACCATTAGACAGTGAGAGGATTGGTTGTTTAAATTAATTGTACTGAATTTTTACTGCAAGAAAGAGGAAAAAAAGGTGCTTGTACAAAAAATATGTACCTGAAGATGGCTTTTGAAAATGGTACACCTTGACTTTTCCTGATGGGAATAGACAAATGTTATTAAGCAAATCTGTCTCTAGCTTTTCTTAAAGGCACCTCTACATCAGTCCAGGCATCAACTATTTTCATTCTTTTTCCTTATACACACTGCATCTCATGCACACAATTTGCTTGCACCACAGCTCCGCAGTCTGCCCACCAGCTTTGTTTCTGAAGCTCACAGCCAAACACAACTGAGACAAATTAGAAATTGCTTTGTTGTTTTCTAACCTCAAGAGCACAACTTAAAATATGAATATGCATGTGGCCTTGCCCTGTCAGGTTAAATACAGAAGTAATAAATAAAGCAGCAGGTGTACTGAGAAGCAGAGGGTAGCAATTTCAACACATTATTGATTTGAGCTGAACCCCTTCTTTTGCATTTAATTGTTTTCTAAGAAGATAGCAAATTGAAGAAAAAGGAAGACGCCCAAGGACTGAAGGCATGGGGGAGTGCCTGCTAGGACGTTTGGTAGAAATTACAATTTCCCCTTTAAGAAGGTGTTTGAACATGCTCAGTACAGTTCCGGGGAAAGAGTGCTTGACAGTAGCGTATCTTGGAATGTAATGTAAAGCTTGCACCTTACAAGCACTTAGCTTTGCGCAAATCAATCGAGGCATTTATTGCTGGACAGAGATGAGGAGGATGGTACAGGGAAGTAAGAAAAATCTGGGTGGGGGATAAAAACATGCGATCACCAGACGGTGAGGCCGGTTTTCAGGGATAGCACTTGAAAACCACACACAGTACACACACTCAGCCCAGTCAACACTCGCATACTCTACACAAAAGCACTCTTCTTGTGCTGGCTGGGGGGAGGGGAAGGCGACCGCTGATCTCCTTCCACTCGCCCTAGTTTACCCCCTTCGACCAATATTCAGATCACTAGGAAAACATGCTTTAAAAACAAAGCAAGCTTGTGTGTATTTCTCTCTCGCTCTCTGTGCCTGTGTAACGTGCGAACTGGGCCAAAGAGCACGATCTCTGTACCCCGATGCCCCTTTCTTCACCCCTACCCTTTGCCTAGCCGGCGGCAAGCCAAGTTGGTGGAAGAGCTGGTAGGATCTGGTCTTTGTTCCGCGGAAAGGCGGCTTTCCTCCATGCTTTTTGCCCCAGACGGGGCAAACCACGGTCCATTTCTCCGATCGCTTGTGTAGCACTTCCAGCCAGCTTAACCCCGTAAGAGAACACACACACACACATATAGAGATGCTGTTGTTGTGTGTATATATACATATATACACCTACAACAGCACACCTCCTGAACGGATTTGCAGGAAGGAACGAAAACGGCGTTACCCCCACCACCCCCAACCACCGTTCCACGGCTGCCTCCCTTGCTTTGCACCTGCTTCGTTCGGCGTGTGGACTAGAAACGTGGGTGAGCAGAGATCCGTTTACCTGGGAAGGACCACCTGAGCCTCTCGCGCGCGCGACCTCAAAGCAAGCGGGCGCTGCCAGTAGTGGCAAGGAAGGAAGCAAGCCCTGAAACTCCGTTAGGAACGGCAGGAAATTTGAGCAGCCGAGGCAGAAGCATCCGAAGGAGCCACTCGCCCTCCAGCCTCTTCACGCGCATCTCTGTTGGGCGGTGGCCTGTGCCGGAGGAGAGCTGAAGGAAATCGGGATTGGCTGGAAAGGAAGGAGGGTGTGGCAGAGCAGAGGAGGGTGGCTCCTCCCTTGTTCCCGCCCACCCTGCCGCTCCTATATATTCTGTGGGATGCTGGAAGGGCTGACCTAATAATTGATACCATTGGGGCTGGGATTGTGGGCTTGACTTCTAAGGGTCGCCCCCCCTCAGAGTTCTTTAAAATAGGCAGGCACAACCCATCGCCCTCCATGTACCAGATCCTCAAGGTACACAACACTTCAAAGCACAATAAGCCTGTCAAAAGAGATTTTGTGTACTTTGGGTCAATCATCCACCCGAATGGAGACTGCAGGGGAGAAATCAGAAGACAACTGAAACTTGGAAGAAGAGCAGCAATGATGGCATTAGGAAAAAAAATCATCAAGCGTAAGGATGTGGGGATCAAGACCAAGATCATTCACATTCATGTATTTCCTATCACCCTTTTATGGATGTGAAAGCTGGACAGTTAAGAAAACTGTCAGGGGAAAAATTGTTTGTTTAAAATGTGGTGCTGGAGGAGAGCTCGGTGAATACCCTGGAATGCGAGAAAGATGAACAAGTGGATCCTAGTTCAAATCAAGCCTTTGCTATCTCTGGAGGCAAAAATGTTGAAACTGAGGTTGTCCTATATCATGAGAAGACAAGATTCTCTGGAAAAGACAATAATTCTTGAGAAAGTTGGAAGGCAGCAGGGAAAGAGGAAGAACAAATGTGAGATGGATTGACTCTAAAGTAATTACAGGCTTGAGTCTGCAAGAGCTGAACCGGGCTGTTGAGGACATTTTGGAGATCGCTCATTCATGGGGTCCCTATGAGTTGGGGCAACCTGACAGCACACCACAACAACATATGTCCTGTGTTAGGTATATATGTGTGTGTTAGTAGTATAGGGGTTGCATGCTCTCAAGTTGCATCTGAGTCCTAGTGACTCTAATATGATTTTCAAGCATGTGAAATATTGGGGAGTGGTTTTATCACCATGGCCAAATGAGGAGCTAAACCCAAGGCTTCTTAGTTCATCATTCTAACCACAACACCACAGCAACTTTCTATGTATACATACTTAAATGTTTAAATAATAGTACTTGTGTCTGTACATATACACACATGCTACGGTCTATCTCTTTCTCAAAAATGTGTGTGTATGAATGACAGGCATCTGTTTTGACAAGGTGGTGCATCAGCTAGTTTTTATTCCTATTATGCTAACAAAATATATTGTATTGCCATACTGTCATTAGCAATCATATTATGTTAATGAACTTTTAACTGTTAATATATTGCAACTGTGTAATGTTTTGATTGGTATATTCATCATTAAGAGTATTTGGTGGGAGTCAATGTAGTGTTGAAACCCAGTGTTGGAGAATTTGTGAGCGCCAGCTTCTTGCACTGTTTGAGCTATTACAGTACATTAAGTGGTGTACCGTTGGAAGTTTTATTTGCAACCTTGCATGCTGTCTCTAATTTGTGTGACTGGGAAGGACTTTTCTGGGCTAGCTTGACTGTCTATTTATCCAACACCAAACAGTTATGCCTTCCAGCCTTTGAATTCTAATAGAGTGTCTCTTTCTTCATTTGGTGACAGTTGTTTGTTTGCTGTTGATCAGTTTGTTGCAAAATATGTGTGCAGAAAGGAAACAGCACACACAAGTCTCCAATTTCCAGCACCTAATAAATGTTTTTAATATTTTGTTGTACAAGTGTCTGAGCGAGTTATTGAGACTTTAAGTTAATGAGAAAAGATGGACTCTGAAGAACTTTAGCTATTCTCTGTTGTATGTCTCTGTGCTTCTACTGCGTAGAAAAAATAATTTTACCAGAAATACAAACCTTGCAACAGTACCTTGGGCCAGTCACACTCTCAGCCTGACTTATCTCAAAGGATGGTTGTGAGGATAAAGTCAAGAGGAGCACAGCTATGTACGTATTATGCATATTATGAATGGCAGTCTATAAATGTGACCAATGAATGAATTAATAAGTATTGTCAGCCATCTTACCTATACCTTGTATTTCACCAAGAACCGTATCAAACAAAACAATTATCTCCCTCGCCTCACCCAAAAACACACCAACAATAAGCAGCAGTGAACAAGCCAACTAGTGATTTGAAAGACAAATACAGTGGTGCCTTGCTAGACAATGATAATCCATTCCACTGAAATCGCTGTTTAGCGAAATCATTGTCTAGTGAAAAGCATTTCCCTATTGGAATGCATTGAGACCTGTTTAATGTGTTCCAATGGGGAAGAATCGTCGTTGTCTAGCGGAGATCGGCCATAGGAAAGCCGATTTGCGAACCGCTGATCAGTTGTTTAAATAGCTGTCTTGCAAAGCTTAGATCCCGAAAACACCCGTTTTGCGAGCGCGGAGGGAGCTGTCAAAATCGTTGTCTAGTGAAAATTGGTTTGCGAAGCAGGGACCAAACATTGTCCAGCGAAATTCCCGCATAGGAACCACTATTTTGCTAATCGCTATAGCAATCGCAAAAAGTCAACGTTTAGCGAAAAAACTGTCATGCGGGGTAACTGGCTAGCGAGGTACCACTGTAAAAGAAGGCATTTACATCCTCCAGGGAGGAGCAGTGGAAATTTTGTACACGTTGGTACCTTCGGTTTGTTGAGTTACTAACCTCAGAGTAGGATTCATCACAACCTTGAGTCAACTGACATAAAGATCCTGCTTCTCACCACAACCATTTTCATACCTTGTGTAGAATTTCAAGAGTTATAGCTCAGTGTTAAGGCAGATGCTTTTAATGCAGGAAGTTGAAAGTTCAATTCCTGACACCTCTAGAAAGGGCTGGGGCAGGATCTGGGCTGAAACTCTGGAAGGTCACTGTCAGTAAGGCCAATGTTAGGTAAATAGACTGACTCACTCACTGTAAGGCAACTTTGTCTATGTTGCTAGAGGAGAACAAGAAGAGCGCAAAACCAAACTGGGAGCATTTCTTTTGTTTAAAAGGAGACGTTACGGTCAACATTGGGAGGAAATAGGATCTAGTCTTCAGTGAGGGTGCACCAGAGCTACCTCTTTGCTTCAGTATAGGATCTACCTGCTAGCGACAGTATGTAGTTTAGAACACCAGTTTGTACCTTCGTCCCACTTCAGCATATTAAATTTCTCACTTGATTGTTATGAATATGAGTAATACTGCTAGGCTAGACCTGCTCTGATGATTCATACAGGAGCATAACATTGGTGAATCCAACTGGCTTGCTCTGCGTTGTCATTGGAGGGAGCCTACACACACACACAAGAAAGGTTGCCTGCTTGTTTTTTGCCCTTCCCAACCACCCAGAGGACAAACATTGTTACTGCTCCTAGAAATCTCTAGAAACCGCAATTCTCCTTTTTTAAAA